TAGGGATGGTTGAGGACTGGATATTTCTCATTTGTTGTTTGCGGATGATACTTTGGTCTTTTGTGAGGCTGAGGAGTCCCAGTTGAGGTACTTGAGGGCTGTGTTGATTTGTTTTCAAGCAGTTTCGAGCCTGAAAGTTAATGTGGGGAAGAGTACTCTGATCCCAGTGAGGGAGGTACCTGATTTGGAGAGGTTGGCTTCAGCTCTCGGATGCGGGGTAAGTTCTTTTCCGATTCATTACTTTCTGATTCATTTGGAGAGGTTGGCTTCAATTCTCGGATGCGGGGTAAGTTCTTTTCCGATTCATTACTTGGGTATGCCTTTGGGGGTCGCTTCTAGGGCTGTAGGTGCATGGGATCTTGTGGTTGAGAGGGTGGAGAGGAGGCTTGCAGGGTGGAAGAAGCAGTATATTTTGAAAGGTGGGAAGGTTACTCTGTTGAAGAGCACTTTGTCGAGCATACCTACTTATTTCTTATCCCTTTTTCAAATTCCATCTTTGGTTGCTACATCGATTGAGAGACTTCAGAGGAACTTTTTGTGGGGAGGTTCTGGAGATGATTTCAAGTATCATTTTGTCCGGTGGGAGCAAGTCTGTAAGCCTATTCAGTCGGGTGGTCTAGGGATTAGGAGACTTGTGCCCTTTAACAAGGCCCTTCTCGGGAAGTGGTTATGGAGGTTTGGACTGGAGAGGAATAGGTGATGGAGGAGAGTTCTTTTAGGCCGTTTTGGGGAGGAGGCTGGGGGGTGGTGCTCGGCTTCAGTATCGATACCTGGAGGGCTGGGGATTTGGAAAGATATCCGGAAAGGGTGGAACGAGTTTTCAAAGCACATTAGATTTCGAGCTCAGGAAGGGAGGGAGATTCGATTCTAGGAGGATTTGGGGTGTGGTGATCGTACTTTAGCTACTGTCTTTCTGAGGCTGTATCGGATTGTTGCGGATAGGCACGCTTGGGTTGCCGACTGCTATTGGCTTGATAGCGGGAGGATGACCTGGGATGTTTGTTTTCGTTGATCGGAGCAGGATTGGGAGTTGGATAACGTTTACGGTTTTATGGAGCTTTTGTACAGACAGGAGGTGTGGGGAGGAGGTCAGGATGTTTTGGTTTGGATTCCTTCTTCTCGGGGTACGTTTTGTGTGAGATCTTTTTTGGGTTGTCTTTCGGGCTCAGGGGGAAGGTTTCCGTGGAAGGCGGTGTGGAGATCCAAGGTGCCGCTTAAAGTGGCGTTTTTCACTTGGACCGCGGTGTGGGGGAAGATTTTGACGTTGGATAATTTGAGGAGGAGAAAGCACATCATTATTAATCGGTGTTTCATGTGTAAGCAAGTTGACGAGTCGGTGGATCATCTCCTTTTTGCATTGTTCAGTGGCCAGGGATTGTTGGAACCTCTTGCTGGGACTGTTCGGTGTTACGTGGGTCATGCCTAGATCTACGAGAATTTTGATGGAGACTTGGGGAGGAGTTTACGTGGGCCTTCATGCTAGAAGGTATTGGAGGATGGCGCCTATGTGCCTTTGGTGGTGTTTGTGGAGGGAGCGTAATAGAAGAGCCTTTGAAGGAGAGGAGTTCTCAATTGCTGCTCTCAAGTCTTCTGTTATTTACTTTCTTTCTTTTTGGGGCTCGGGTAGATCTTGCTGTCTTCCCGAGGATTTGATCGAGTTTCTGTCTTCTCTGGCGCCTTAGGGCCCTTGTTTGTTTCTTATCTGTTTCTGCATGTTGGATGTGTTCCCCTGTTGAACGCTTTTTTCTTAATTGAATTTACTTATCAAAAAAAAAAAAAAAAAAAAAAAAAGAATATCTCTCAGAAGATTGCTTTGCAAATCAGAGCTCACAAGACTAGAGTAATAAATGAATTCAAGTTGAAGGTTAAGTCTATTGTTGAATGAGAGAGGGAAAATGAAAGAGAGTATTGAATTTCAGTGTTTCTCAACTTTTGGATGTCTTCTACATAAATGTCCAACACATATATTTAGTAAATTCTGCAGATTATAGCTGGTAGAGGTGGTTGGAAGTGCATTTAATGCATTTCTAGCCGTTGTAGTTCAAATCAGCCTATTTTGGTTCGCTGATGAAGTACTTTCGGTCGGCTGAAACAAGATTTTCAGGATGCATGGTTTTTGCTTGGCTGTCAGTTGGCTGATGGCTTTACACCAGTCGGCCGAACCTCCCTGTAGGGCTCAAAGTCATTCTTTTCGAGGGCCTTTTGACTTCCTAATTTTCATAGGTGATCTTATGTATAGAATGATAATTCCATGACCTATTCTAAGGATCATTTAAGATGAAATGATGATAATGTATGATCCTATATAGAGATGAGCTTCAAAAGGAATTCAAATTTACTTTGGCAATTTGTTCCTATCACCCACCAACCTATCTACCCCTTTCTTCAAGCATTGGCATTGATCATGAGCTTTTGGGGAACCTTCCTTGAGCATTGGATTGGCTTTTGAAGACCAAGTTACACTTTGAATTGCTCCTTGCCTTGCCTTTTTGAATCTAAGTCATCTTCAAGCTTAAGGATTCATTATGTGAATTTAGCTTGGGATTGACTTTGATCTTCATTCCTTCATTGAGGTCTTTCTTGGAAATATATCATATCTATCTAAAGCACTCAATGTAGACATTAGTCCCTAAAACACCATTAGTGGTTTGTAATCATCAAAATTATTAGATGAAACCTTTGGGTCAACAACATGGTTTGGCTCAAAGTAATTATACAAATAAATATCATAAACTACATCACTGAATGCCCTATGCCTTCTTTTGGCATGCCTGCTGTGATTCATCTGTGTCTTGTTGAGGACTCCTTTGAATTGTGAGAGCAGCTGCTGGTGAATTTAGCTGCTGAAGTTGGTTCTGGAGATTTGAAGTTATATGGAAGGGGAGGACAATGGAGGTTTCTCTTTCTTAGGTTTGCATATTTCTCTGAAGTGACAGTGTAATGGTTCAGTTTTTTCATTTTGGATTCCATAAGGATTTGCTTGATTAGCTGGAAATTATGGGATTGTAAAGGAAATGGGAAATTTTGAAACATTTTAGGAGTTTTTATTGGATGAAAGGAAACTATTTGGAAACGGGCAACTGGCTAATTTTCCAAGAACCATTTCCCTCGTAAAACACATGAAATATATATATATATATATATATATATATATATATATATATATATATATTGTGAAAGTGGTCCTTTTTATATTTTAGTTTCCTATTATGCCCAATCTCTCTCCACCATTTCTCTTTTTCTTATAAAAAGATTAGAGACTTGTTAGAGTCTCCCAACTTGTTTTGGTTTCAAAATGATTCATTGCACCTTCCTTACCATATATATCACAACTAAATAGAGCTACATGATATGAAGTCTTAAGTAGTATATAATCTTTGTGGAAGTTTCTATTATGTTGTATCTAACAAAATCAACCAACATTTATTTACTCTTTAAATTGTATTAGATAAAATTGAGTTTTATATATTTTTTATTTGTTTTTCTAAAAGGGTTGTATAAAAATTGGATAAAAGAAGGTTCATTTAAAACAAATCCATGTAGGAGAATTTTTGAAGTACAAAAAGTAGTCTTGTGACTTTTTTTATTTCCTAGTTGGTACTCACACACACTTGTCTCTTCTGAGACTTGAACCCCTAACCACCCTTTGGGAAATAAGAGGCTGATACCGCTAGGCCACTGGCCCGTTGGAGTCTTGTGACTTTAGTGTTCTCCCGAAATTTCTAAAATTTTCTTGAAATTTTTCATTGTATCTAAAAAAGGAAAAATTGCTTTCTTTTCTTTCACTTCACTTTCTAGCATGTATTTCTTCCCAACCAAACAAAGCCTTAAATTTTCCATCTTGGATTCCATAATGATTCTTTCTTTTTGCTGGATACAAACCCGACCTTTCTAGAGGTGTGAAGGCTTTAATGGTTTCTTGAAGGTGAGGATGGAAGCATTCATTATTTTGCTTTGTGAGTAGGGGATTGGCTTGAGCTGCAATCTTCATCTGTTTTTAGGCATAAGATCAGAAGGATTCACTGGAGTTGTTTTGGATTCATAGTGCTGTGAAACGGTCTTGATCAATTTTAGTGTTATACTAGTATTGTTTTAGGAAGTATTGATGAGATCCCTTCAGATCTTAATCTTGATGGTGGTCCAATATTTCAAACCATCAAAAAGTAGTGCTAAATAAACATCTATGGGCAATTGCAGTCATATTTTTGGTCCTATTCAACTTCTTTTTTTTTTTATAGGGAACTTTGAACTTGAGCAGGACTACACGTCAGGGAAGATCAGTGGGTTTTGACATTCAGTCCCTCCATATGAGTCAATTTCTGTAACTGTTCTCATTGCATCTTCTAAACTTTGGATTGCAATTCCATTATCTTTTCCCCTTTCAGCTTTTATGATGAGCAACTTTGGGCATAATGGTCGATTTCTTCAGTGGGTATGGTTATCTTTTCCCCTTTCTGCTTTTATGATGAGCAACTTTGGCATACTGGTCGATTTCTTCAGTGGGTGTGGTGATTGGTGTTTTGGGACAGTTGGATCTGGAACAAGTGTGATGGTTATTGAGTGGACACATTTGCAGTTTAGGGCATGCCTTAGTCACATCATTTGCCTAGGATTGTCGCCGCTCTCACGTTTTGCATACGAATTAGCCATTTGGTAGCGGGGTCCTCAGGAGAATAACATCTATGCGTCTCTGTTAAGTTATTGGGATTTAGATCTCCTTCATATTTTTGCCTAAAACTGAATAATCTTAACACAGCTTAATGATCTCTGTTAAATCCTAAAGGAAGGTGGTAGCATATATGGTCTTTTAGTTGTAAACACTGCATTCTTCACTTGGTTGAAATTTCTAAATCAATTTGATGTATCTGTCTATGTTAGCCCTGAACCCATAGCAAAAATCCTCTAATTCCAAGGCTTTTAGCTAACTCCTCTAGCCTGAGCTTTCAAATTGATATTTCTTTCACTTTAGTAATTTCCTAATGTACAAATGTAATCTGTAGGTTGAGGAACGACAGGTGGCAGTCGATGAATTGCTTGATGCTGATGAAGTTTTCTGTACTGGAACAGCTGTAGTTGTATCACCTGTGGGCAGCATTACCTACCTTGATAGAAGGTAGAGTTTGTTTCTGCTTTGGCAATTTTAATTTTATTGAAAATTATCCTTCTTGTGTGTATATAGATATTTTTCTTTTTCTTTTTTATTATATACATATATGTATATATATAGGGCCTGTTTGGGGGAGCTTTTCAGAGCCTCAAAACGAGTTTCCAACCCTAAAAAGCCATTTCTATATAAAAATGGCTGTTTGGTGGCATTTACAAAATGGACTTCTAATGGAATTAAAAGTCCTCAAAAGTCCATTAAGCTGAAGCTACAAAAACTTGCTTTCAGAATTGGCTTCTCGGGATGTCTACAGCATGGGTCAGTGGAATGTAACAGTATTACTATATAGTCCCTATATATTGACTACATTGTCTGCATTAACCTTCATTTTTTTTTTACCACACCGTGTCTTTTTTTTCGCTCATCACAACATGCTACTGCCATAGTCCCTCACTCTCCCTCCCTCTCTTCTCCTTGTCGATGGCATTGAATTTGATGGTTGATGATCCTGTAATTTGAGCAAACGGTGTCGCTTGCTGAGTTGTCAAACACCAGGTGTGAGTTTCACTTGTAGTCTAAGCAATATGCATCTGACATGGATTCCGTTGACCAGAAAACCCTGGGTGGTTCTTTTTTCTCAGATTTCCTTCATCAATCTCTCATCTCTTTGTTTCAGATTTTGATCTCTCACTGTCTTTGTTTTCTTCATCTTTGAGTGGTAAATATGTATCAATCTTATTTCTAATGCATATATTTGTTAACTTCTATGGTCTCTCTTCTCCTCAATTTTAGCGGCCATCAGAATTTGCAGTGTTTTCTTAGGATTTCTTTTTCTTTTCCCTTCTTTTTTGGGGTGTGCGTGCGCGCTTTATCAAATCAAAATTGGAATTGAAAAATTCCCTTATCCTATGTGTGTGGGTGTCTCTTGTTTTCTTTGCTTTTTGGTTGATTGGGTTGGGGTGGGTTTAGAAGTTACCATCAAGTTGGGTTGATGATTGGAATTCTTTTGCATGTGGCTGTCAAGTAAACGGAGATTAAAGAAATGAAATTTGAAATTAATTTTCCTCTCTTTCTTCTTAAAAATGGTGCTTTCGAAAACACTCTCAAATATCCTAGGTCAAATGCGTAAATTTACCTCTTTTCCATTCTGAGAGAAGCATGTAATGGTAATTTGAAATCTTTGATTTTCATTTCCTTTTACTTTGGCTGTCTCTATGTTTATTGGCCACCAAATGGCGTGTGTGTGTTTGGATCTTTTAGATCCCCTGGTCCGAAAAAAGCTTTATCTCCTGTCAGGTTGGCTGCGAGAGTTTGTTGAAGAAACTTTTAGCCTCTCTTTCTATAGTGTTGAGCGTAAATCATTGCCATTTTCGGAGAATTTAGTGCAAGTTATTGGAGCTGAGTATGATCGAGATTGTTGATTTACGTTCTTGTTCTTCCTCCAAAAAGTGACCAAAACCAACATGTCTATTTTTCTTATATATAGAACCAACGTGTTTATAAACCTTCGTATGACGTATACTGTTTTTTTCATCTATTAAAAGATATGTTAAATGTCAATGAGGTGCTTTTCCGGGTACTAAAACACACTGGACAACGAAGCATACATATACTTGAGAAGAAAAGACTACACTGTGTTGGCTCCATGTGCAAAATGAGCTTCCACAGTGCCTTTACAATTGTAAATGGAATACGCAGCTAATGTGATAATTACTTTGTGCAGGGTATCTTATGGACATGGTGGGATTGGCAATGTGGCCCAGCAACTTTATTCTGCACTCACCAGTCTACAAATGGGGCTTGCGCGAGACACGATGAATTGGGTTGTTGAGCTGAAGTAGGCTGTTTCAGATAATTGCTACGACGCCATGGATTGGGCTGTCGAGCTGAAGTAGGGTGTTTGGTACAAGTGCTTCGTTTTACTTCATTTTAATTTTTCCCTTTCGACCTTGTGCAAATGAAATCTATCTAAATTCATCATTGAATGTTAGAGATTGTCCAGCTTTTTTTTTTTATTTGGTGATTTGTAGATAGTTATTCGAAATTGTGTTTAATAAACATTTTACAATGTATGCTAGATGACTTCTCAAGGGAGTCGAATTGTTCTTACATTTTTGTTTCTATGCATCTTTGTTAGGTACCTAAAATTTGATACTCTTGGGCAGGCATGCTCATGATTAGAAAACTCGGTGTATTCTCTTTTCTATACCCTTGATTAAAGATGTGCTAGGGTTTATTTCTTGGTCCAAAAGTAAAAGTTTGGACTGACTAGTGTTTCCACAAGTTTGAAGAATACTTTTAAGTTAATCATCCTCCAAGACAATGACATGCACTAGGTAAGTTTCCTTGAGGTTTAAGGATGTGCTAATTTCATATAATGGTATATATCCAAGAATTTGTCTTGAGGTAACCCTGAAAACATACTGTTAGATAAGGAAAATATATTAAATGTAATTCAATAATGAGGCGAATTATGGTCATTTAATGAAATATAATATAGTCCTTGGGATATGTTGTAACAAAATGGGATAGTTCAGGGGGATTTTTGCACTTTACCCAAAATAATAAGAAAAATAAAATAACAGGTACAACTAAAATTTTTGCCTTCGGAACTCTTAATTTGTTTTCTTTGGGCTTGTTGGTTTGACTGTCCAAGCCTGTTTGATAGTCAGGCCCATTACTTATTTTGTACAGCTTTTCCTTCTTTTTGCCCTCCTGTATACTTGCCCTTCTTCATTCTCAGGTCAATGAAATAACAAGAATCTTTTTGCACTCTTTTCTCCGGTCTCACAAATAGAGAGAAAAAAAGACATCAAAATGAGAGAGAAGGTAATTATTCGTTTGAACTGGCACGGTTGGCCCACTATATAAAGGGTTTTCTGGGACAAACTGTAAACTCGGACATTTTAGGTTCAATCATATTTTTTTCTCGTGGAACATCCTATGATGCACAACCAAAACACCCCACTAACCTCTTCTTTGGACTCTTCCAAGACATTTATGTCCTCTATGAGAGAAGACAATGTGAAAGATGAAAGTGAGTCAAAGACATTAATCAGAAGTGAAAACAAGACAGCCTTTTTCCTTTCTTTTCCTAGACTTATATTCCAATGTGTCCCTAGACTAAAGACTGTTGTTTGGTGCTTTCACATTCTTCACTTTCCATAACTTGTTTAACAAATCTCCAACAATATGACATTGTCAATTATTTGATATATTTCTTTTATTTTCTAAATTAAATAACATTCTCATATAAAATAGGTAGGGTTCAAGGTCTAACAATTTTTTATGACAATATTGTGATTAGATATGTTTTATGTTCGTGTTCAACTCTGCAATTGTGTCAAGTGTTGTGTCTCAAATACAGATACTTCACCTACTTTTGAATACATTTTGTTTTTGACAATGACGAACCAAAACTGAATTTACAATCAATTTTGAGACGATCTTTACAATGTCTATGGATTCAAAAAAATTAAAAATTAAAATTCTCCGCAATATAACAAACGTGTTGTATTATACTCAACATTTCACACACTACTGCGTGAAGCGATCACAATCACCCACTGCAATATGGCACACAAGGGATCCTGCCTCCTGCGCCAACGTGCACCATGTTGGTATTTTACGAAGATAGTTGATTAAAAAGATTTGACTTACAGGTGAGATTGCATGAACATAAAGACTAATAGGTAAGCTTGAAGATAAAACAAAAACTCATCATTATTGCAGTGGCACTGTTAATAAGATTTGTCCTTCGTAACATCATTTTCAAATCATTGAAATATATATATATATTGGTCACATTTATATAAGATGGAGAACTGGAATCCTATGTAGTCTTACGGTACATTTAACGGATCACAGTCTTTACATGTGTGGCGATCCAGGTATATATGAGCTGGAATCTATTAGATGCAATACAAAAATTTATACTACCTTAAGTTAGGATTCGTTAGAAACAATACATTGCAAATAATCCCGACTTATAAGATACAGTATAGAGATTTATATGTATGAATTAAGATTCGTTTAATACAGGACAAAACAAATGATCACACCTTATAAGATTCAATATTAATAATTACGGATCAAATATTAAATAGATATATATATTTATGTTATGTACCTTAATTTTAAGGGCCTACAGTTCTTGTTTGTTATTTTCACCATCATTATTTCATCATATTTTTGTAGTAGTCATCTAGAATTGGTCTCCTTTAAACTCACACAAACCAATCCAAATATAAAGTGCCTGCGGAGTCGTTTCTTACTTCTAGAAAGCTGATAGATTCCACTGCGGTCCTTTTGTACTTGGAATCAAACCTTAGAATTATTTAACAAAATGAATTAGCTAGCCCTTTAAAATTACATTTTTTTAATACATATAATTAGATTTTTTCTTTATTACTTATTACTCCCCTGTTTTAAAAAAACATTTCATTTTAGAAATTGTAACTTATCTCTTTTGGAAGGTTTTGACTCAGTTCTCTAAAAAATAATCTTTTCGAACTAGATAGAGTGATATATATATATATATATAGAGAAGACTAAATACATCTAGAAAATTTAACTGTGGTAATAACCATTGGAATCAACCAAAATTGCATACTTTTTCACATCTTTCTTTAGACTTTGTCAACCCACGTTATTTTCTTCGTTGTTTTACAAATGCATCTAGACATTTTAACCGTGCTCATCATAACCCACCCACGTGTCTAAGACCAATAAACATTGGAATCCACCAAAATTGAATACTCTTTCACATTTTTTTAGGCTTTTCAACACACGTTATTTTTCGTCTTTGTTAAATAAAGAGGTGGTAACAAATAGGTAAGGACTTAATTATAGGACGGTGGTATCTTACGAAATATTAGGTTTAAAGTTTGAATTTTTTTAATGTAAACAATTCTTTAGGGGAGTGTGGGCGTCAACTATTATTAGAGTTAATTTTGGTCATTTTTAGTGACTTATTGTAACGGGTGGATGCTTATCCATTTATTCAAAAACTTAAGTTGTTAAGTAATATTGCATATTCACCCATTAATACTCATGTCACTTTCCATCTGAATCTGATGTGGGATAAGTCTTTTCTTGTAATATTCTCTCCTATCCGAATCCACGCAACGCTCTCGCTGCAATTGGATCACCCTGCCTACCTGGGATTAAGACCCGGATGTTTGGCGTGACATCGGATTAAGGATTAAGTCTATCTCTGATACCAACTGTAATGGGTGAGCACTTACTCATTTATTCAAAAACTTGAACTGCTAGATAGTGCTATATATTCATTCATTAATATTCATGTCACTTTCTATCCGGATCCGATTTGACATAAGTTTCCCCTTACTATAATTCTAGGTTACGCAAATTAGTTTCTTCTTCTTTCTGATGCATCTATAAATTTTTGCATATGGTCATACAATTAAGTCTACTCTCTCCTCTTCTATCATTAATAGACGTATCGCCTAGTTACTCCCGCGCACTTTTGATTTTAACTTATTTGTTATTCTTTTATCGCATAAAGCACCCACTAATCTGTGTCCATTTTGTACAAGTTGATCTAATTCTACTTATTATATGTGACTAAATATAAACACATACATACGTAAGTAAATTGTTTCTTTGATGACTTTTGAGGTCCGTTTGTCTTTGCTTAAAATATATTTTTTAGAAAATATTTTCTTTTTTTCAAGTAAAATATTATTTTATTTTTATATTTTTAGTATTTGACAAAAATTTAGATCGAAATTGTGGTCGAGTTTGTCTATGCACAGAATTGATGGATAATATTTTACATCCAAATAATGGAACAGTAATAGTAAAATATTTCATTGTAGTTATACCCAAATTGCAGCATTCTACCGAAGTATTTTAGATGTCAGTTGGGTCTTTTGGGTTGGGCCTCTAGAGAGAGGTCCTTGGGTTGGCATCCCAATCTTATTCTTGTACATTTTTCATACATCATTATATTTTTATTTTTATCAATGAGCATATGGCACGATGGTATGATCTATTCTCTTCGAATTAAAAATTAATTGTCGAGCTTTGCTAGAGATAACATTGTAGAAGTTTGTGCATTTATTTAAACTTTAAATATATATAATTTTATTGAAAAACTTTATTTTAAATGTCACAAATGTAGTCAGATAGTTTGGATATAATATATATTTACTAGTGAGAATGGATGATTGTAAAGTCTTGTAAAACTTACTAATGAGAAAGAGTTTTCAAACTTTTCTTCTCTCCCTTTTTTATAATAATTATATTTGGAGTAATCAATATGTACTTTCTAAAGTGAAAGAGTGCCTTGAGAAGAAAGTAGCTAGGATTGAGCTGTATTCTATAGCCCTAATTTACAGTCAACCAACAAGACTCTTTCAAAACAAGTGGGCCCAAGCTTATGCACAACCAAACAAACTAGAGGAATACAAAGTGATCAGAGAGAGAGAGAGAAATCAAAAAGGTGTATGAAAAAGAAAAAGAAAAAGAAAAAGAAAGATGATCAAGACTGACTTTGGCTCGAGATGATTTTTGGTAAAAAGTCAAGGATGGCTTTAGTTTATAGTTTTAATTAGATTTGGGTGTTGAATTTCACTGTGTTTGTTGCAAATTTATTTGCTAATAATAAAGTTCATGATAAATTAGAGAAGCACACAACTTTTTCAAAACGGTTGGGAAGAACAAGTCTTCTAGGTTGGCCACCACCACATCATCTCTCTCTCTAGACCTCTCTCATTCATGGATGAAATTCTGATCCGTTCTCGTTTGCAGGGATACCCAAAAGGTTGACTTCTTTTTGGGAGAGCTTAATTCCCAATCTTGCGCCAAGGCACACACAATCTTGGTTCGTTATGTCAGTCATGTATCGACTGATTTATAACTCTTTTTTAAGGGTTCGGTATCGTTACACACTTCTATTAATTAGTTGGTTTGATTGGTTTACATCGATATTTGTCTGAATACGTTGCACCGCGATCGATACCACAACTGATATCGCGACTGCGAACCATACACACAACATACTCATATTAATTTGTTGATTTTTTTTTTTTTTTTTTTTAAGATTTTCTAGTAAAACATTGTGATTATGGTTCGCCATATTGACCGA